GGTTTCACCATGTTGGCCAGGCTGGTTTTGAACTCCTGACCTCAGATGATCTACCCACCTTGGCCTCCCAAAGTGCTGGGACTACAGGCATGAGCCACTGCACCCAGCCTATCCTTTCATATTTCAAATGGGACAAAGTCTTATCCTCATAACCATGGGAAGAACCTGTGGGCAGAGACGTCACTGTGACGCTTGCATCATCAAAGGAGCCTAGTGATGTCAGCACCAATGGAAGACTCCAGCGCTAGGAGAGCAGTAGACGGCAGCTGGTTTGTGACGCAACACAGAGCAAAAGATATGATGCTTGGAAGATAACTGTCCTCGTGGGATGGCTTTGGCTACCTCTTTACATCACTCTAACCGAGGGTAAAGGACTTTTAAAGAGGGATCTAGGAGAGTTTGGATGGTTGTGGTAAAATCAGGGTTAGGGTCATCCCCTAACCTTGACCTCGGAAAGATATTGACAGACAGGCAGCCTATCAACACAGCTAGGAGGGTGCCTAGGGATGATGTTATGGAGGAGGGAATGCTGCTGCAGAGAATCTGGCTAGATGGGCCTGTCTTACCCCACCCACATGGCATTTCTAGTGATCTTGAATTTAAAAGGTGGTCAGTTTCAAATTGCAGAGGCGCAAGAACTGGGCCCAACTGAAGCCTACCCAGGATGGGATTATATGAAGAACTGCCCCCATAGAAATACAATGTGAGCCTCATTTTCTTTCTTTCTTCTTTTTTTTTTTTTTTTTTCTTCCTTTGAGACGGAGTCTCGCTCTGTCACCTAGGTTGGAGTGCAGTGGCACAATCTCAGCCTACTGCAACCTCCACCTGCTGGGATCAAGCAATTCTGCTGCCTCAGCCTCCTGAGTAGCTGGGATTACAGGTGTGCACCACCACACCCAGCTAATTTTTGTATTTTTAGTAGAGACAGGGTCTCACCATGTTGGTCCGGCTGGTCTTAAACTCCTGAACTCATGATCCACCCGCCTCAGCCTCCCACAGTGCTGGGATTACAGGTGTGAGCCACTGCGCCTGGCCGGTGAGCCACATTTTCAATGTCCAGTTTCCTAGTTGCCACGTTACAAACAGTAAGAAGAAACAAGTGAATTAATTTTCATAATTTATTTTTCATTTAACTCACTATTTCCAGACTACAACACCCAGACTGTTACCGTTTCAGTGTGTAATCAATATGAAGTTATGAATGAGATGGTAAATTCTTTTCTTTCACACTGTATTTGACTTTGAGACCCCACGTGTTTTATACACTTGCAGCTCACCTCATTTCACAGCAGCTGCACTCCACACACTCAGGGACCACACGTGGCAAGTGGCTACTTTATGGCTATCAGTGCAGAACTAAAGCGTCATGTTTGTTAAATGAGTATTCAAAAATGAAAATAACTGGGAGGCTGAGGTGGGTGGATCACCTGAGGTCAGCAGTTCAAGACCAGCCTGGCCAACATGGTGAAA